GTTGGTATTGTTGTCAATGCTACTGTTGTTGGTATAATTGTCACTATGTTTGGGATTGTCATCAATGCTACTGTTGTTGTTGATGTTGGGTTTGTTGTCAATACCACTGATGTTGGTATTGTTGTCAGTGCTACCGTTGTTGGTATTGTTGTCAATTCTATTGTTGTTGGTATTGTTGTCAGTGTTACTGTTGTTGGTATTGTTTCAGTGCTACTGTTGTTGTTGTTGGTATTCTTGTCAGTGCTACTGTTGTTGGTATTGTCATCAGTGCTACCGTTGGTATTGTTGCATGTGCTTCTGTTGTTGTTGGTATTGTTGTCAGTGCTACTGCTGTTAGTATTGTTATCAATACTACTGTTGTTGGTATTATTGTCAGTGCTACTGTTGTTGGTATTGTCATCAATGCTACTGTTGGTACTGCAGCAAGTGCTTCTGTTGTTGTTGGTATTGTTATCAATGCACTGTTGTTGGTATTGTTGCTAGTGCTTCTTTTGTTGTTGTTGTTGCTGAAGTTGGTGTTATTTTTAATATTGTTGTCAATGCGACTGTTGTTGATGTTGGTATTGTTGCTCCTGCTGCTGTTGTTGTTGCTAGTGCTACTGTCGTTTATATTATTGTATTACATTGTTGATACTGTTATGGATGTTGTTATCGCTTCGTTGTTCTCAGGGTTTAAACGTTACTGTATCTGTCCAAGAAGTGTAACTGAAATGATAGAATAGTTACAAATAGTAATGTTTTGATACTCTCCCTTGATCAAGCGCATTTCTTGGCGATGTAGTTGAGAAACTTAGCAAGAGTAGTTAGTAGTAGTCGACTTATACCCCACCAGGACATCACACAAGCGATAAACACCCGATGACACAAAGTGCCACCATGTGGATGAGGATCACCCGTAAAGAGGTCCCAGAAACCACGTTCAGCCATTAGACCATATTTATGGTCGGGCTATATTGCGGCCCCTGACAAGAGCTAGGGTGGGGCTTCAAAATAACGAAAAATTGCATCTCACAAGGAGATGGCTGGGATAGGTACTTAATTTATTGACTTAGCAAGAATTCAAGTTTTATTTTTACACTGTAGAAACTGACGAAACAGGGATCCGTGACTGGTTTCTTTAATATCATTGGCTTGCAACACCAGCGGCGGTGGGAGGTCCTTGAATCTTTCTTGCAAGGTGTCTTGGCGTTTTTTTTTTTTTTTTAAGGATCAAATCGACATCATCATCATTTAGCAGGTCCGTCACGAAAGGTCGATTCTGTATAAGATAGTGTTTTTTGATGGCAGACACTAGAAGCTTCCTGCTCTTCCGTGTTAGGACTGGTCCCTACCAGGACACATTTGGGTGTGAGTTCCCCTGATCTGGCACCACTGAAGCCACCGTCTCACCAGGTTTCATCTTATAGAATAAAATAAGCCAGTCAAAGCTGTTGCCTCAGAAGTTTAAAAAAAAAATACTTATGTGTTGCTGTTGTTGCAAGGGGTATCGGCATTGGCACCTTTCCGTCTTTCCAGACGATAGTGTTATATTGCGCTATGAGGAGGCATGAGACTCACAGCCAGCCCATGGCGATGGCGAGTGTGACTAGCAAGACCCGCCCGTGTCAAGAAAACTCTTCCACAATGATAGCATGGGATTTCAGAACCATTTATATCAACATTTGTGTTTAATCCGTTTCTTTTCAGATGCTCAGCTCTCATCATTTCTGCAATCATTGCTTCCTTCAGTCTCATTCCCTTCCTGATATGCCCTTTCCTCACAACACGGTCCATGGCATTTTGTTCCTAGGAGTCCGCCTCAATACCTGTATCATTCATGTCCCGCTTGCACACATCTTTATATTGTAGTAGAGGTCGGCCTCGACATCTTCTTCCTGTCTTTAATTCATTATAAAGGATGTCTCTCTCTGCTATCCTCTATTCTTCAGGTGTGACCCAGCCACCTAAGCTTTCGTAGACTGAGCATGGAAAAGACTGTTGTAGTACCTGCTCTTTCCAGTACCTCACAGTGTTTGTGATTTTATCCTGCCACTTAATGCCAAGTATTCTTCTTAGGCATCGCACGTGAAAGCTATTAAGTCGTCTCTCTTGGTGCAAATAGATTGACCAAGTTTCACTGCCATAAAGCAGAGTGCTGAGAACACAAGCCTGATAGACAAGGGTTTTTTTTTCATTGTGAGCTTACTGCTCTCCCAAACTCTCTTTGCCAGTTTGCTCATTGCTGTTGCTGCCTTACCTATCCTGATGTTGATTTCTTGGTCCAGCGATAGTTTACTATTCACTGTGGAACCCAGATAGATAAAATGGTCTACTGTATCAAGTTCTTCACCGTCAATGTAGACTGTAGGTCTGTCACTGACACCTTGCACCATAACCTTTGTCTTCTTTTTGCTGACTGTTAGTCCAAATTCACAGCATGCATCAGCAAAGGCAGATAGTAAACACTGCAGCTCCTCCTCTGAGTGGATGGTTATTGCGGCATCATCTGCAAACAGCAGCTCTCTGATAAGTACCTTTCTTATCTTGGTTTTGGCCTTCAGCCTGCGAGCATTGCAAAGGCCACCGTCAGGTCGAGAATGAATGAAAATACCACCCTCCTGATCTCGAAAGGCATGTGTCAAAAGAAGTAAAAAGTATATTTGAAAGATGGTAGGAGCAAGTACACACCCCTGCTTCACCCCATTTTTGATTAAAAAAATCCTCTGTTACACCATCAAAGTTGATTGTACCTTTCATACCTGTGTGGAACGACTCAATAATACTCAGTAGAGTAGGTGGACACCCAATCTTATTCAGTGCGTTGAACAGACCTTTTCGACTAACCAAACCAACCAAATAAAATGCCTTGGTAAAATCAAGATTGTTGCAAGGGGTGGGTGCTTTATTAATATTCTACACCAAACAAGGGAAATCCACAGGTCACGGGAAGTCTAATATTTCAGGGGGTGGTAGATAGGCTGCATGCAGTCGTGGGTCCTAGGCTGCACTCTCTCGTGTGGTATAGGGGGGTTTGGGGTTAGGGCCAGTTCTAGATATTTTTGGGTCTTTAAAAGCATTAGAAAGGCGGGAAATCCAGTCTTGCCACCCTCTAAAATGTTGGACTATCCTGTGACGTCATCTGGGGGTAGGATATTACGAAAGAAATAGGCGTTGTGTTTATTTGGGAGCCGCTGTGATGTAGCGGCTGCAGATCGGAAGATCGTGGGTTCGTTTCCTGACGGAGCTATAGTTGTTTTAAAATGACTTTGGGATTACCAGAGATAGTCGCTGAAGCTGCGGCAATCGTGCTTTATGCCAGCTTTCGGCAGGTGGCTAGTTTTTCTGTGGAGACTGAGTAATATGAGATAAAACCTGGTGCAGTGTAATCGATCTTCTCGACTCTGACCTTTTAACTTTTAACTTGACTGTAGAGGTTTAATGCCGTTTTGCTCTGCCATCCAGGTAAGACTGTAATGTCAGATTGTAGAATCTTCAAGTAGCAGTCCGGAGAGAAAACAATCAGCAGGAACGGAAGTTATTATTTATATAAAAAACACTGAACAAAGTGTAATTCAATTATGAAAATCTTTAGTGCGTGCGTGTTAAACACTGAACTAAAGCTACTTAGGTTTGCACAGAATAAATTCGGTAATTAGTGGTAGTGATGATGATGGTGATGATGATGATGTTTACATAATGCAGCAGTAATTTCTGAAGCACATTTAATTACAAGCTTTAACAGGAATAAATAACATCAGCAATTTAGCAATAACAGTAATATGGTGCATGTAGTGGTAAGAGCAGCAGTAGCAGCAGCAGCAGCAGCAGCAGCAGCAGTAGTAGTAGTAGTAGTAGTAGTAGTAGTAGTAGTAGTAGTAGTAGTAGTAGTAGTAGTAGTAACCGTAGAAGCGGTAGTTTTCTTCCTCTGCTTCTTTTTCTGATTATTCTTAGCTTTTACCAGCTTCAAACTCTGGCGGAAAGTTCTGGTTGTTCGTCCATTTCACAACTTTAGTCTTGTTCCAGAATCTGACTATTTCGTGCACATCCGATTTACAGATCTAGCCTAAGTATTAGTAGTAGGAGTGGCAGCAGCAGCAGAGCGGAAACATCAGAGTTGTACCGTTTCTTTACCGTGATGAAACTAAAAGTGTCCCGTCTATGCCATGATAACATCACAATTGTACAGTTCCTGTGCCGCTATGCCATCAAAATTGTCTCGTCTCTATGCTGTGATAACATCAAAATAGTCTGGTCTCTCTGCTTTGATGACATCACTATTGTCTCCTCACTGTACCATGATAACATCAAAATAGTCTTGCCTCTATGCTGTGATGACATCACCATTTTCTCCTCTCTGTGCTGTGATGACATCACCATTGTCTCGTCTCTGGGCTGTGATGACATCATCATTGTCTCGTCTCTGGGCTGTGATGACATCATCATTGTCTCGTCTCTGTGCTGTGATAACATCATGCTGTGATGACATCGTCTCGTCTCTGGGCTGTGATGACATCATCATTGTCTCGTCTCTGGGCTGTGATGACATCACCATTTTTTCGTCTCTGGGCTGTGATGATATCTCCATTGTCTCGTCTTCTGGGCTGTGATGACATCATCATTGTCTCGTCTCTGTGCTGTGATGACATCACCATTTTTTCGTCTCTGGGCTGTGATGATATCTCCATTGTTTCGTCTTTGTGCTGTGATGACATCATAATTGTATCTTCTCTGTACCATGATATCGTCATAATTATCCGGTCTCAGTGCCATGATAACATCAACACTGTCTCGTCTCTGTGCCATGATAACATCAAAATTGTCCCGTCTCCACGATAACATCAAAATTATACTGTCTTCGTGTATTGTCAATTATAACATTCTATTTGCCCCGTCGCTATGTCGTGATAACATCAAAATCGCCCCGTCTCCATGTCAGCATACGCAGCATGATGATGTTTCGAACAATGCAGTGTTTTTAATCGCAGTAAATAAGACCACATAAATGAAGTCATAGATGTGATCTACCGCCAAGCCAAAACCAACGCTGGTATCACGTTGACCAGGGCACCGCTCCAACTGCAGACTCCGTTGCCACCTCGAAGTTGACCCACCCGAGGTGCCAGGTAGCCATTTTCTGAAATACTGACCCGCCAGACTCTAAAGTTGGCGCCCTTGACGCCGCTGAAGTCTATACCTCCCAACAGAAAGAGTTGAGCCCTGCAGGCGGTAAACCACAGAAACCCGTCTTCATCCACGGTAAAGGAATCCGGCCATTCCAGTTTCTCATCATCCTTCAAAATCTCTGTTTCTGTTTTGATCTCGACTAACCCGTAATCACCTCCTTTCGCTTGGCATCCTTCGCTACCTCCCATTTGTAGACGCTGTTTTTAGTCAAAGCCCCATAATAGAGGTTGTCAGTGGCATAAGTCATGCCGCCAGTCTGGGAAGCTTTCTCGCCGACTAACCTGACTTTACTGCCAAAATCGGCCCCTTTTTCTCTGACAACGCTAGAATGAACCTGGTAAAGCTTTCTACTCCCCAAGGCGCAGTAATAGACGTACTCGAAATCGGAAGACATGGCAAGGCCATCAATGGGCGTCTTGAGAATGTAGGAGATTCCATTCACGGTAATGTTGGACCCATCCCCTTCTTCGTAGTCCATAGACTCATGCTGGATGATGTGGCGTCTGGTTCGTGTCCAGGTTGAAGACGATCAGTTTTGAGTCAACGGCGTCTGTTATGTAAACCCATTTGGCGGATTTAGACGTTGGGCTGCCCCGATCGATGACGATATCGTTGAGAAAGTTTGTCTTGTTGGAGACCAGATCCTCTGGAAAGTCATGGCTGCGGACCAGACTACCATCTGGGGAGAAAAGCGGACGGAAAAGTTATGTACTGTTATGTAGAGATCCATTTGCGTTATAATTAAGTTATGTTCAACCACATCATGACCGTGACCTACTTTATCTGGAGAAGGCGTTGCCAGGACCAAACAATGAGCGACTAACATCCGGCGACACAAAGTGCCACCGTTTGGTTGAGAATCCCCTAGGCGCAAGTCCCAGAAACCCCGTTCAACCGTTAGGTTATACTAGGCATCCTAAGGACAGCCGGGTGGGACTTTAAATGAACAAAAATTGCGTCTCATATCGGGGCGGGAAGCTAATTTGCAGTGCATACCTGATAAGGAGAACTTACAGAGAATCCATAAATGGTTCTTTTTAGCAGAAACTCCTCTTATCCAAATAAGCATTGAAGCAAGAAAAATTGTTGGGGATAAACAAAGTGTTTTTTTACAAATACATTCGCCATATTTGACATCAGTCTGCACTGTAATATGCGATGTGGGGCGCTATGTCATAATTTAGGATGTTTGTTATGACATCAAAGGAAGCCATGTTTGATAGCCCACTCTGCTAATATCACGCAATAATTTGTTGATATCATAATACAATCTGTCTACAATGATCCTGTTCACTGAAATAAACTCATAAACTAGTATCATAAACATCTAGTGATAACTTGGGAAAATCTGCTGATATCTTGAGCATACCTGCTATTATCATGAAACAATCTAGTGATAAAACTGACAAATCTGCTGGTATCTTGAGCATACCTGCTATTATCATGAAACAATCTAGTGATAAAACTGACAAATCTGCTGGTATCTTGAGCATACCTGCTATTATCATGAAACAATCTAGTGATAAAACTGACAAATCTGCTGGTATCTTGAGCATACCTGATATTATCATGAAACAATCTAGTGATAAAACTGACAAATCTGCTGGTATCTTGAGCATACCTGCTATTATCATGAAACAATCTAGTGATAAAACTGACAAATCTGCTGGTATCTTGAGCATATCTGCTATTATCATGAAACAATCTAGTGATAAAACTGACAAATCTGCTGGTATCTTAAGCATATCTGCTATTATCATGAAACAATCTAGTGATAAAACTGACAAATCTGCTGGTATCTTAAGCATATCTGCTATTATCATGAAACAATCTAGTGATAAAACTGACAAATCTGCTGGTATCTTAAGCATATCTGCTATTATCATGAAACAATCTAGTGATAAAACTGACAAATCTGCTGGTATCTTAAGCATATCTGCTATTATCATGAAACAATCTAGTGATAAAACTGACAAATCTGCTGGTATCTTGAGCATACCTGCTATTATCAGGAAACAATCTAGTGATAAAACTGACAAATCTGCTGGTATCTTAAGCATACCTGCTATTATCATGAAACAATCTAGTGATAAAACTGTCAAATCTGCTGGTATCTTAAGCATACCTGCTATTATCATGAAACAATCTAGTGATAAAACTGTCAAATCTGCTGGTATCTTAAGCATACCTGCTATTATCATGAAACAATCTAGTGATAAAACTGACAAATCTGCTGGTATCTTAAGCATACCTGCTATTATCATGAAACAATCTAGTGATAAAACTGTCAAATCTGCTGGTATCTTAAGCATACCTGCTATTATCATGAAACAATCTAGTGATAAAACTGTCAAATCTGCTGGTATCTTAAGCATACCTGCTATTATCATGAAACAATCTAGTGATAAAACTGACAAATCTGCTGGTATCTTAAGCATACCTGCTATTATCATGAAACAATCTAGTGATAAAACTGACAAATCTGCTGGTATCTTAAGCATACCTGCTATTATCATGAAACAATCTAGTGATAAAACTGACAAATTTACTGATATTATGATACCATACAGACAATGTAAATCAGTGTTCCAGCGGATTCTCAGAGAAGAAATGTGAGGAGTCTATGAAATCATTCACACCTCAAGCTTAGAATGCAGTCTTTTTTATTTTTCGATTATAAAATCGAGAAATTATAATACAATCTTCTTCTTCTTTTTCTTCTTCTTCTTCTTGTTTGTTCACCGGCTGTAAGCTCCTGCGGAAAGTCCTGGCTATTGGTCCAGGGCCGGAGGTTTGCGTGTAGATCCGTTTTACTTGCTTATTTGTGTGTTGTTTGTTGTTTCTGTCTTAAAGTTCCTTGCCTCTCAGGCAGATGCACTAGGACGTTAAAAGAAGCCCCGAATTAGTCGACTCATACGACATGCTTGTTGGGGGGGGGGGGCGCAGTGGGTCTGTTCTTGTTTTCCCAATAATGAGCCACCTTGAAATCATCCGTCTGTTAAAAAGTATAAGGTTCGTGGCAGATGTTTAAATACAAGATGGTCCCGCAGGTTGAAATCACTTGAATACAACTGGTATACATCTGATGACACCCCAAAAGAAATGTCACATGACAGCTGTCAGAGAACAGGTAAACATACCAGATTTCAGACAATCTTTTGTTTAAACGTATTTTCTGGTAACTGTTTATGGTCGTTCGCTAGGGATAAAGATTCTTCTCCTTATTTGCTTCCTCTTTCGCTTCGTGTTTTGAGGGAGATGTAAGGACCTGTTTCTTGCTCTTCTGACTACATCGACCATAGACACACTGTGCTATTGTAAAGTTTCCCTGATGTTATCTGTCCATATTGTTCTTGGTGGATCTCTTGCTCTACGTCCCTATCCTCTTTTGGTGTACACCTTGTGTGCTATGAGTTCACAATGCATTCTCTGTAAGTAAGCGAATCATATTGTTCGCTGACTTTCCGTGTAAGCTAGATCTTGTTCTTTGCTTTTACTCTTTTGGCTTATTTCCTGTTTTGATCTCTTGTTGCCACTCTTGCAGCCTTTATTATACTTCTGATTTCCACGGTTACTCGTTTTCTTGTTTGGTTTATTGTGAGTGGGATGGGGATTATCTTATGCTGTAAGAAGGAGGAGAGAGAAATGTAGGGGGAGGGATAGTGTCTCCCACACTTGGTTTGCTTTACTGCATCTATCTTTTCTCCAGATGATGCCGGCGTAGTGGGTAATGAACAGGTGACAGATTGGCTGGATCTGCACCACTGGGTGGTGAATTGATACACGACAAGGCAGATGTGGTCAAGGCCCTTGGAGAACAAGCAATGGAATCAGTGGAGAAACAAGATTATTATGGCCTGGAGAGAATGAGGCACCTGGGTGTAACCAAAGCGTCTGGCCGACTCACTACACTCAGAGGAAAGGCAAGACGGACATATAACCAGATTTTGACCAGTACCATCAGTATTAGAATTCTGCGCTGGCTGCTGAAGATGAGGACGGAGTACGCATGGGAATGCCCCGAGTGATCTGATGTCAATTCTTGACTTAACTCAACTCAACTTTACTGCATCTAAATAAAGTTAATTCCTCCATCCAGTTTTCCATAATTGTTATTATCAATATTAAACAGACAAAAAAGCAGAATTCTGGCATATCAGACGCCTGTGAGAGTAACAGTGCGACACCTTATGTGTGTGTGTGTTTGATTTTACCGTTTAGATTGTAGACCACCAGTTTTGGTGGGCAGATCACGGGGGGTGGTTGGCCGGAGATGTCGCCGAAGATTCCGGATCTGCCTGGATCGATGACGTACATGTATCCAGTGATAGGGTCCACCTCCATGCTCATGGCGCACTGCGAGGAATGGGGGAGGAAATATTTGTCAATTCATTTACTTATGTTCTTGACACCCCCCCTCCCTCTTTTCTTTCTTTCTTTCTTTCTTTCTTTCTTTCTTTCTTTCTTTCTTTCTTTCTTTCTTTCTTTCTTTCTTTCTTTCTTTCTTTCTTTCTTTCTTTCTTTCTTTCTTTCTTCTTCATTGTCTTCGCGTTCACCAGTTATTAGCTACGGCAGAACGTTCTTGGTTGCTGGTCAACGTCCGCACTTTAGTCAAGTTCCAGAACCCGAGTGTTGCGTGTACATCCGCTTTACAAATATGGCTTATTGTATGCAGACTTCTGGTTCCTTGTCGTTCATGCAGCGGTACTATGACTTCAAGAGATGCCCCCAGTTAGTTGACTTCTTCGGCCTGCTTATTTTGGAGGCAGTGGGTCGATTCTTGTTTTCCTAACAATGGGGCTCCAGACCCCACACGGGAACCTCTTCTTTCTGTACCCTCCTTTATCTATGTGTGTCTGTATGTGTGCGTGTGTCTGTGTATGTATGTGTCTATGTGTGTCTGTTATCAGATTATCAGTCACACGTCCGACTTCACGGCAAATGTGCCAGTTCATAACTGCCCCGCTTTTGTGCTAGTAAAATCATACAAAATCCTGTCTATGTCTGTGTGTGTGTCTATGTGTCTACGTGTATCTGTTTTTGTGTCTGTGTGTGTCACTATATGTCTTTTTGTGTATGTGTGTGTCTGTATGTTTGTGTCTAAATATGACTGAGTGTGTCTGTATGTGTCTATGTGTATCTGCATGTGTCTGTATTGATCTGTATGTGTCTGTGTGTGTCTGTATGTGTCTATGCGTGTCTCTCTGTGTCTGTATGCGTCTATGTGTGTCTGTATTTGTTTCTATGTGTGTCGTGTCTGTATGTGTTTCTATGTGTCTGTGTGTGTCTGTATGTTATCAGATTATCAGTCACACGTTCAGCTTCGCGGCAAAATTCAAAAGCTGGCACACGCATGAAATGCTTAAGGCAACCGTTTATTCCCCCCCCCTCCCCCACACCTCCTTTTTTTCTAGACACACACACAGACACACCTGTACATACCCACACGCACTCAAGGATACTTTGTTCCAGAAGAGCACCCAGAAGTATCCTGAGGATACCTTAGTTATGTGATCTTTTGTATTCTAGTTCATATTGTACATGTGTGTGTGTGTGTGAGAGAGAGAGAGAGAGAGAGAGAGAGAGAGAGAGAGAGAGAGAGAGAGAGAGAGAGAGAGAGAGAGAGAGAGAGAGAGAGCGTATTTTAAGGTAGTTTCTAAGGTAGGAAACAATTAGTCAAGGAACTAGACCAGTCGGTTCTCAACCTGTGGGGCTCGAAAGACCCTTTCACAGGGGTCGCCTAAGACCATCGGAAAACGCAGTCACTGAAATTATGATGTAGCAACGAAAATAATTGTATGATTGGGGGGTCACCACAAGACATTAGGAGGGTTGAGAACCATTGTGCTGTATCGACTCACCTGCAAAGCGCTACAGTTGCCCAACTCTTGGGAGGCCCAGTCCGGAAACGGGGTCAGCACCGACTGGTTTCCCTTCTGGATAACTTTGTTTAACGTCGATGGAACTCCAGTGGTGTACTTGAGCCTGGGAACACTCAGGTAAACTTGCCCCCTGAGCGAAAACAAAAAGACAGTGATGTTAATACAGCAGCGGTTCTTCAACTGGGTGCCGTGGCAATAAGCAAGAATGTTTCAAAATCTGCTTGTGATCAGCGAAGACAGCAGTTTAAAACAGAAATACCGTGAAGGAAAGCCAAGAATAAATCTGAATGCAAGTGTATTCAGAAGACAATGCTGTTTTCGAGGCTGCAGTGCATTCTCAGCGTACGCTTACATTAAAAAATAGATACAGGAGCAAACTTTCTAGTCAAGTGAATTTAAGGTGAAGTTAACTAAACTTCCCATAAAGAAAATAATGCAAAACTAATCCAGTTTCATTCAGCGCATTAAAGACAACTGAAAATTAGATGTGCACTATTTTTTTCGTGGTTTTTTTCCCCCGTTGGTATTCAAACCGCTTTAATGCTTGAGGCAAAATTGTTTGTTGTTGTTGCCCGACAGGGGTGCTGTGGCGAAAACAGTTTGAGAACCGCAAAAAAACAGTGGTTGTGTTAACAGGACTAGAGTTTTTAACTGAGCGGGAGGAGAGAATGTTTCGTTTTCTTGCTTTGCTTCAAATAACTATAAAAAATTGTCACGTTCAGCCAGCATCCCAGAAGGGAGCGCTTTGGGTTATAATTGTGACTAGACTATCTGCGCCATATAAAAATGGCGTAAGCATTGCTGGCCACCAAGAAGCCCTGAAAATGACTCTTTACGATGTTAATGCGATCAAAGGAATCAGACCTGCCGTGGCGTAGTGGTCAAGCCTTTTGCCTTGCGCTCTGGAGGGCGTGGGTTCGTTTCCCGGCGGCGCCGTTCAGTTCACAGGGCGTAATTTTTTTTAACCGACATCCCTGGGGATCGTCGCCGGAGCTACGAAGGTCGTGCTCTATGCGACTCTCTCGACAGGCAGCTAGCTGAATTGCGGAGAGAGATTGAGCCATATGGGATAAACCCCCGTGCAATGAAGTCGATCCTCTCACCAGGCAGACATACCCAAATACTGTCCCGACCCGCAAGGAAGTCGTCTACTGGCCAGCCAATGGGCGACCCAGTCGCCTATTTTGGAAGAGAATGTGGAAACAACAACAACAACAACAACAACAACAACAACTATGTTGTAGTAGTAGTAAGTAGTAGTCTCCAATCTGGATGGTGCGGGGACGCCTGTCTAGGGGGCTTGGTGTTGAAGTTTCGCGGAGGGGGTCGGGGGGAGGCCGTCAAGCAGTTTTGAAACTGAGTTCACTGGTACTTGTAATAATCAGAATATTCAGCTTAAGCAGACAAAAAAACGAAAACGTTGTGTGTGTGTGTGTCTTTCAGCCCCGCCAAGACCATACAACGTCGACCATCGCCTGGTGACACAAAGTGCCACCATTCAGATGAGGATCACCCGGGTACACGGTTACATTAGGGACCCCCGACTACAGCCGGGGTGGGGGCCTTAAAAAAAAATAAATGGCGTTTCACATTGGAACAGGAAATTAATTAGAAGGGAAATATCAAAACAGCGCTGCCGGCTAGATGTGGAAAATGAACTCCGGCTTTTTGTTATGACATTTTGAAATACGCGCGTACTTTTTTCCTCTTCCGTTCTTGGGTTTCTTCTTTTTGTCCTTTTTTTTTCCACAGTTGGTTATGGTGAGTGAAAAGGGGGAAAGGGGGACGGGGTATTTACCATATACTTAAGAGGAGAGCCACCCGGAAAAGGTTGAAGATCACTGAGGTAAAGAGACAGACCCGACAAGTACATTTTGTGTCCTTTCGTTCGTCTGACACAATTTTTAAAGGGCCCTTCTTACGCTGTGAGGTTTTCGGGCAGATGGTGCCAGACCCTTCTTACGCTGTGAGGCTTTCGGGCAGAATGATGCCAACCTCGTATTTTCAGAGACCAGTCTCGATGGGTGATATGGGTCAACATCATTCCGTTCTTCTCCTCGTGTGGGTTCTCGGGCCCCATTGCGGGAGGGGGGGGGGGGAGAACCGACCCACTGCCTTCCCAACAAGCAGTAAAAGTCGATTAATTAAGAAGAAGAAAAAAAATAAAAAGAAGAAGAAGGCAGAAGAAAATAAGAAAAAAGAAGAAAGAGAAGAAAAAGAAGGAAGAAGAAGAAAGAAGAAGAAGAAGAAAAAGGAGAGAAGAAGAAGAAGAAAAGAAAAGAAGAAGAAGAAGAAGAAGAAGAAGAAGAAGAAAGAAAGAAGAAGAAGAAGAAGAAGAAGAAGAAGAAGAAGAAGAAGAAGAAGAAGAAGAAGAAAAAGAAGAGGAAGAAGAAGAAAAAGAAGAAGAAGATCATGACTGACATAACAGTAGTTACACAGTCTGGACAGGTGGGCTGTAATCAAGTTTAGACCTATTATAAAAGCTGTCCAACTGTTTCATTACGTAAGGAGTTCCTGGTCTTGTTGCCAGGTAACGCCAGAAAGGTAACATTTTAGCATATGAAACAGAACAACCGGAACCAACTACTTCAGCTGAGTAACTGTTATACGAGACGTTAGTTAGAATTTCCCAGAATACATTCACGAGGTACATGCAGAACGAATTCCCGAAACTGCGCGATTCCGCGAAGCGTCCGACGGAGTCGGCAACTCTCTTAACAACAGCCTTATCTATCTTATGGGTTCCAGCTCGCCTCAGGGACTTAACGTGCAACTAAGCCTTATATAATATTGTTATGTTACAGCCTTTGCCTGTCACCAGCTATTTCTGGCTAGTATTAATTTCCTATGTTCACACAGAAACAGAAAATAACTACATTTGAAATGCGATGTTTCCGCAAGGTCACTAACAACACAAGGAGAGACAGCAATAGGAAGATAGTTTGAATAAGACCATGTCTGGATTATATTGACAGACAAAGAATTAAATGGTTTGGCCATCTTGTGAGAATGTAGCCAGACCAGACTGCATATGAGACTTTTTACAGCAGAAACTCTGGGAGAAGGCAAGAGGACGACCAAGAAAGAGATGGATAAAAGATGTAGCTGAAATCAGCAAAAAAGATGAACAAATCCATCCCTAAGTCACCCGAGAAGCGTAAGACAAGTACAGAAAACCACGACACTGGGCTACAAACTAGTATCAGTGATACGACAAAACCACGACACTGGACTACAAACCGGTATCAGTGAGACGACAAAACCACGACACTGGACTACATTCTGGTATCAGTGAGACAACAAAAGAAAAAAAGACACGTGTGTCAGAGCTTTAACTGGCCAGGTAGACAGTGTCAGAGCTTTAACTGGCCAGGTAGAGTGTCAGAGCTTTAACTGGCCAGGTAGAGTGTCAGAGCTTTAACTGGCCAGGTAGAGTGGGCAGAGCTTTAACTGGCCCAGGTAGAGTGGCAGAGAGACTTTAACTGGCCAGGTAGACAGTGTCAAGAGCTTTAACTGGGCCAGGTAGTAACAAGTGGTCCCAGAGCTTTTAACTGGCCAGGTAGACAGTGTCAGAGCTTGAACTGGAGCCAGGGTAGACAGTGTCAAATCTTTAACTGGCCAGGTAGACAGTGTCAGAGCTTTAACTGGCCAGGTAGACAGTGTCAGAGCTTGAACTGGCCAGGTAGACAGTGTCAGAGTTTTAACTGGCCAGGTAGACAGTGTCAGAGCTTGAACTGGTCAGGTAGACAGTGTCAGAGCTTGAACTGGCCAGGTAGACAGTGTCAGAGCTTGAACTGGCCAGGTAGAGTGTCAGAGCTTTAACTGGCCAGGTAGACAGTGTCAGAGCTTTAACTGGCCAGGTAGAGTGTCAGAGCTTTAACTGGCCAGGTAGACAGTGTCAGAGCTTGAACTGGCCAGGTAGACAGTGTCAGAGCTTTAACTGGCCAGGTAGACAGTATCAGAGCTTTAACTGGCCAGGCAGACAGTGTCAGAGCTGTAACTGGCCAGGTAGACATTGTGGATTTCTCTCGAAGATACCCTAATCACAAGAGTCGCCGTGGCGAAGCGGCTAGACGTTCAGTTTCGGATTGGAAGTCGTGGTTTCGCTCCCCAACTGACCCGGACTTTTTTCAGAAATGACCTTGGCTTCCAGGCCGACCCAGCCTTGAGTGGGTACAGGGTGCAGTTCTAGGAAGTAAAGGCGACCGGCGTGATGCTGACCACATCACCCATCTTATGCCGATTGGTCTATAAAATATAGGTTTAGCCCTATATGCCCTATACGTCTTAATGCGGGAAAAGGGGTCCTTTACTTTACTTATACCTTAATTACGTGAGTTTGTGTGTTCTAGTATGTAATTGTAGCGTTGTTCATTCATATAATCTGCTGATGCAGGCTTTCTAGCCGTAACATTCACTTGTAAATTATAATTATAATAATGCAAAGCTGACTGTTCTACGTTTCGCTTGGTTTGACATGTTTTCCCGAAGCTTCACTTGTTTTGTGCAAAATTGCTGACTCGTTAAATAAACAATTTAATGCCTGTAACTAACCAACAAATTGACAAACGTACTGAAAAGGTAACTTTAACTGATTAACTAAATTACGGGTTCTCCGCAGACTTACTGGGAGATAAATGACTATAAACAAAGGAACGAACTTTATTGTTAAAGGGTTCAGTTATTTTATTTTTAAATGATTAAGTACTGGGCACGTAGGCCCGTCTTACATTCTACCCCTTTGGTCCGCTTACATACATTATTCAGTTTATACATCAGTTAGCGTAAAAGTATTACATATCATCGAAATCCAATTACTTAGTCATCATTACTGGGATATGCTCTAATTATACCTACATGTGTAAACAAGCATTAATACTAAGTACAGTAAGCGTAATAAATGGGGGGGGGGGGGCATAATAAGTTTACCACCAAAATCTTTTTAGGGGTTATATAATCTGTTAAAAGGTAGTTGCGTATCCTTTTCAAGCCATCGCAGAACCAACTTTAGCGGTTTTTTTTTTTCTGTTGTGATTTTTCTAGGCAAACATTACATTCATTAGTTTGCAATTGCTTTCTAAACGGTCAGCTTTCGGTACCACTGTCGAAACCAACGTATGACAAATCGTCCGCAGCTGGGATCGAACTCGGCAACCTGGCATTACGAAGCTCGTTCGTAACACCCAAGCCACAGACGCCGACAGTCTGTGCTGAGATAATATTAAAATTGTTTACGATAACACTGTCTAAGTGACTAACTAACTAATTAAGTTAGCGACTAACTTGTAGGTCTTGATCCCTGATATCAGATTGTGGCTGGCATTGTATCTGCAGTCGGCCTCGAACTGCCGCCTCATGGTCTCTGACGGCCAGTCGTACTCCACCACCAACCACTCGTACATGATTTCACCTTGACCCGAACTTGACCCCGCGGAATCGCCCTGGCCGATGTAACTCAAAATGACCAATGAGGAAACTAGGCCAAATATGAGGGGAAACATGGCGGTTGTGATCATGGCTGTTCTTCCAGATCTTGGCGTTGAGTTGCAGATGAAGGCACCTGGTGGGAGATACATCGTCATTTAACGCTATGTTTGCATCTTAATGGAGATTTAAATATACTGATAACAACCGGATCTAACAGCTAATTGAAACAGATCGTGGTCCAGATTTGCAGATAATTGACACGGATCAGATCTCACATTAGTAGATAAGTTTCACAGATAAAACGTTTCACAACGGTATATTATTTAAAAGAGCTTGTTGCATAATGAGCAGACAATGAAAACAGATTATGGCTAATGAGGATGGCATATTTGTAGACAAAAAGATAAATACTAGAAGATGGGTTACAGCCAAGAGAATCCTATCGCAAACATAGTCCAGAGTCAACATTGTTTGTCAAGGAAGAGTCCAGAGCCAAACTTATAAGTCAAGGAAGAACGTAAGCCTCCATGAGGTCATTTAGTGCGAATGATTTGCATATACCTAAAATGACGTGTCAGATATCACAAAATGGTAAAAGTTCTTCTTCTTCTACTTTCCTCTACTCCTGGAATGCCTCGCGGCGTCAAAACAGGAAGAGATCCATGGCACGGGCCCTTCTGTTCGAGTCGTATAAAGTGCTTTATAGTGTCTCTGATATTTCTGCGGTCCATGTTCTGTCTGGTCAACCTCAGGCTCTGTTACCTATGTATCTATATACAATTACTCTCTGTAGTGCCGTCTCATGATTGAAGTTTTCGAAAGAAAACTAACCACCTTTGAAATTACTTGTTTGAAAAAAAACTGAACAAAACCAGAAAATATATTCTGTGAATGAAATCAAGAGATTAGGCAAACTATTGGAACACTACCCATCGTTTCTTTCATTAAGAAACAGTGATTGGAATGTTTCGGCCACATAAGGAGAATGCGTCCATCAATAACGGTAGCGAGAAAACGCATCATGAAAATGAAAACAGCAAGTTGTAGCGGAAGATCTAGAAGAATACAGATCAAGGGACTCACTGACAGACTGAGACTTCACAACATTACCGCATACCAAACAACCGAGTTCGCCCTAGCTCGGCTACTTGTCATCTTTGCCTAGCGACACAAAGCAAAGATATACAGAAATAATCTTATCAGATGTAATTTAAAAAGTCAATCATTGACTTCCCGTGTTATCACTTCGGGATTGAAGAGGGATGCATGGTTTTTGTTTTTGTCCTTCTGGATGATTTTATCAAAGACAAGTGATACTGTTATAAGAAGAATAAGACCTTATGTAATAATTCAAATTTGAGAGAGTGCCTGCCTTATGCCTGACTTTATCTCTGTTGGTCACTCCCTCGGCCTTTCTCAGACATCTCATTTTCATCTCATAAACTAGTATCATCATAAACTGGCAAACATGAAACACAAAAACTTGTGACAACACGTACATAAGAACCTCTATGTAGACGAGAAAGATTGTTTCCCTAGCCGTTTTGCAAAATTGCTAAGCGTTGGTCTCCTAACTTTATCTACACATTCGAATGTACACGTATGCATGTGTGTACGTGTGGCCGCACAGTGTTCCTCACACTTGTAACACCCGCGCCCCACATAAGTTTCAGTGGAAACCGTTTTGAGGCCCGATTGATAGCTAACGAAACATACAATACAGTAACAAACGTAGATAGCGGTTTTTTGTTAACTCTGATGTCACAAAAATAACTAATGCGATATCTGCTGCTTATAAACTAGAAAATTGTATACACGCCATTTAAGCGTTGTTTCTGATACATGAAGCGCTGCAATAAATATCTGTTTGAATTATAATGTTTAGTTTTTCTTACTGACGTGGCAAGGAAAGTATTTTTCCTAGAAATATGAAGTCGGGGAAAGCCTAACAATGTGATAACTATAACTCAGGATGGATAGTCTTTTCCCACTGATATCCTAAACTCGGAGAATTGTTGCATCTTATCTTCTTTTTTTTTTTTTTTTTTTTTTACTGTCTGCAAGCTCCAGCGGAAGGTTCTGGTTGTCCGTCCATTTGGCCTTTGCCTTTATGCCAGGGCCTGGGTTTTGCATGTACATCCGTTTTACTTGTTTATTTGTGTGCAGTTGGTTGTTCCTTACCACTCGGGCAGATGCACTCCGAAGCTTCGAAGGAAGCCCCCAGTTAGTCGACTCCTACGACATGCTTGTTGGAGAAGCAGTGGGTCTGCTCTTGTTTTTCGTACAGTGGGACTTCGTAACCCACACAGGAGTTTGTATCTTATGTTTAGGCACAAAAGTGACAACAGAAGGTGACTCGATCTGCTTTTCTCTTTTAATGATGATCAAGTGTGCATGATCTTTTGTCTCTAAAGACGGGATTATTAATCTAAAGATTGCCTTAACCCTAATCCTTATTTTCAAGGAAGAGTTATCAAAGGTGTACGCGGAAATGGAGTTTCCGGATTTTTACCTGTACGATTCTCATCAAAGGTAATGATCCTACAGACATACCCTTCCAGGTTACACGATTTAGCAGACACACAGATACACACGCACGGACGGACGCGCGCGCACGCACACACACACACACCGTGGTTGTAGATAACTCAGAAAGCATGCTGAGCAAGATGAGAACAAGCATACTGAAGAAGATGAGAACAAGCATACTGAAGAAGATGAGAACAAGCATGCTGAGGAAGATGAGGGCAAGCATACTGAGTAAGATGAGGGCAAGCATGCTGAGGAAGATGAGAACAAGCATGCTGAGGAAGATGAGAACTAGCATACTGGGGAAGATGAGAACAAGCATGCTGAGGAAGATGAGAACTAGCATACTGGGGAAGATGAGAACAAGCATGCTGAGGAAGATGAGAACTAGCATACTGGGGAAGATGAGGGCAAGCATGCTGAGGAAGATAAGAACAAGCATGCTGAGGAAGATGAGAACAAGCATGCTGAGGAAGATGAGAACAAGCATGCTAAGGAAGATGAGGACAAGCATGCTGAGGAAGATGAGGACAAACATGCTGAGGAAGATGAGGACAAGCATGCTGAGGAAGATGAGGACAAGCATGCTTCGTGCAAAGGGGCATACTTTGCTCCGGATTATGCCGGGGTTTTGGAAAATGAACAGGCGGACAGATTAAGTAGAAATCCTTCGCGGTCCACTGTCCACCAGTGGGCCGCCACCCATGGGTTGAAGAACCCGGATATAGCTGTGGCTGCCGTAAATCAAAGGGCACAGATACTGTTAGACAGGCAGTCGATTTACCATGTTAGTCAACTCTGAGCCTCGACCTTCATCCTTACCGACATAGAACTATTTCAGCGGTTTTCTCAACCTGCGGGTCGCCACTCCTTTTTTTGGGGTCGAACAACCCTTTCAGAAGGGTCGCCTAAGACCATCGGTAAACAAATTCATTGAAGTTATGGAGGAAAATAATTGTTTGAGGGTCGTCACGACATGAGGGAACTGTTTTGAAGGGTCGCGGCATTAGGAAGGCTGAGAGCCACTGGACCCGATGTCACAGCAGACTCGTGTAGTCGCTACCGGTGCCCTAATTATAACTTCTTTGGAGCCGTTGAGTCAAGAATTGACATCACAGCACTCGGGATATTCCCGTATGCGCTCCATCCCCATCTTCAGCAGCCAGAGTACTGATACTAGTGGTACCAGTCGTCTTTTTCTCAAAGTCCACGCCGTGTGGCGTTGGTTGTCATGTCTACCAGTCCTAGTCTGATTAAATGTCCGTCTTGCCTTTCCTCTGAGTTTAGTGAGCCGGCATCATTCTATCCAGGCCATAATAATTCAGTGTCTCTTCTGACTTCGTTACTTGTTTCCAAGGGCTCCTGAACACATCTGCCTTGACATGTATCAGTTCACTACCCAGTGGGATTTTTGGAGTTTGAACGGGGCATCTGAAACCTGCCTTGGTGTTCCGCTGTTGATATTGAGATGTTTTTTTTTTTTTGGTCCCCAAACTCTCAGTGGGTATGGTAAATCTTTAAGTAGCAGCTCGATGGGGACAAAATGATAGATCGATCGAGAAGCTCTGGTGACAGTCAGAAAACCACATTCCATTGACGTCACTTAAAACGATCGGTTAAAGAAAACGTCTCTTTTTGTGTATATAAAACATGTAATGTAGTACAATGGACGTGAGAGCTGGAACGCGACAGGAGCTCTACGCTAAAGACAATTTTTTAGAATAAATGTCTTAAAGGAATACTAAATCTCCACTGGAAAGATCTGAGACCCAATATGCATTTTAAACAAGAGACCAAGCAAGATAATGTGTCCAGTTTTATAAGAAAGCGCCGCTGGAACTACATCGACCATGATTCAGAATGGATAAGACATGACTCCCCTTTCTAGCCCTTTTATGGACGCCGAAAGGGAATAGAAAAAGGGGAACACCAAGAGAGACCCTGTGTAGAACCATCATCAAGGAAGGCTCAAGCATTGGCGTAATAAATAACCAAGACCTAAAAACAGATGGCAACAAACCGCCAGACATGTAGAGCTATGACCTCTGCCCTATGCCCCGCCCTAGGTTCAAGAGGAAAGACTTACTAATGTACCAGGGTCTTTGCAGAACGTCGCTGTCATCATGGTACGACAGAAAGCCATTCAGTCTCTTACGACCTTTATTATAACTTTAACAACTTCTTCTTTTTAGCGGTCACCGCCTATTTCTGGACTTTCGTTTTAATCCAGAACTTGAGTGTTAGATGCATAATCGTTTTACAGATCTGGCTTAGTTGCATGCATAATTTTGGTTCCTCGCCTTTAGCGAATCTTTCAGCTTCTGAGAATATTGACCCTGTTGTAAGCACAATATGTCTTGGCCTCTTTCCCCAGAACGGCTTGGCTGGCGAGAGAGTGGCCGAAAGATACGAACCGTTTAGCTCCAGCAGCGATCTTCCAAGGATTCTCGTTAAAAGGGTATATCATGAACCGAACGAGGTAGTGCATAAATCGAACCCACGCTCTTCGGGGCGGGAGGTAAATCGGCCGCGTTACAATGTTGGCTGGACGAGAACCTAA